CATTGATTCTTTCAATCAGAAGTTTCAGTGGATTTGTGGAATAGTTTTTATTTACTTTTGGACAGGAATGTATTCATTTGGGTTTTTTCCTCAGTTTTCTTAAGGAAATACTTGGAAGTCCTGCATTGCATCAGGTTGTATATTAGCACAATTTTCCTGCTTCGTGCGCGCAATTGCTGAAAACTCAGCTGCTCAGGAGCAGGAAACCCCTTTGGAATTGCAGTCTGAAGCGTCTAGTCTGTTGTTCCTTGATCCCCTTTACAGATAAATATAGTTTTGAAAATGAAAATTAAGTGTAAGTTTTGAAAACCATAGTTTGAACACAATTTTTCAAATTGAACGGAAGTTACAATATCTCTTGATCACTAAGAAGTCAGTTTGGGTTTCTGTTTCAATATAAGCTTTAAGATTGTTAAATAGGGCCACTCTTCCTCTAAATTTGTTCAACTGTATCTTTTCCATTTGTGCTCAGCAAAAAATACTTAAATGCCTATTCCAAAAGGCAGAGATGAAAGAGTACATTCTGCAATATTTAGCTGTCCATTTGGGGATCAGATCACTTTTTTCACTTTGTTTTTAGCAAATGACAGAAGTGACTACTGTCAAGGAACACAAAATAAAATCTGATATATTCCCACAAATTATTTCTGGTTATGTTAATCTCAAGTATTTATTTACATTTAGAGCAGGGCCAAACTGAAACAGGTGCCTGGAGATTTTTAAAAACATTTATATGTACTTGGAAATTCTAATAGATTTTGTATGAAAACAGATGTTTGTGGATAAATAAGCCTTTTTGTTGTTTACACATATTCCACCAGAAAAATCTGTCTAATCTGTTCTTAAAACATTGAGCCTGAAAAACTGAAAGGTTGGGATAAAAGGATCTGTTGAGTCTTTTGTCTGAAATGCACCTACATTTGCTCATCTGTTTGGGGGCTGCTTGGCATTTAGGAGGGGGAAACTAATCTTCGTTCATGTATGAAAAGGTACAATACTTTATTTCAATTATTTGGCTGATTGCTGGAAGTACGTTGGAGTGAGGGGGCACTGGCTAGTTCTGGCCTTCACTAATGGGAACATTTCAGAATGTGGATGGTAATTAAAGTATAGAATGCAGAAAATTAGGCCAAAATTGAATAGAAATGAATAAGTATGTGTTCTGTTGTGCAGATGTTGGAAATAGATTATTTTGGATACCTCTTTCTATCTACATCTTATTTGGTTACCGTGCAAAATTCGGTCATACACCATGTAGATTGTTTCTCTTCCCATTACCTTCTCTGTTTTTATGTTGTGATGTATCTGTATAGGTAGTAATTTAGCAAAATATCCTGTCTGCCAGGTGTGGGAACTAGCTGATTGTATTGTAATACCAGATCATTACTTAATTCATATGCAACCTAGCCTAGCACATGGAAAGCATTATAAATCTATTTACAGTGTGGCTGGTCTGATGATAACATTGTATTAAATTCCCAGGTGAGGCAATTTAAGCAATTGCTTTGCCATGTGTAGGCCATGGAAATTAACTTCTCATATGCTTTAGTAATAGAAGAACTTCATTGGTATGCTCAGATTAGTGGTACAGCAGAATTCTTACAGTCTGGTTACGTGTACCCTGCTTCACATGTAGAATCATACAGGGGGGTGGTACTGCAGATCACAGATCTTAATTAGTTTAAGCTGAGTTAATTCATTTCAATTCTAATTTCGCTGGGCTTGCCTATGAACACATTCAGTTCTATTGGGAAATGTTAAGGCTTGGGTCAAGTAGACAGATTGTTTAAAGCCAAATTGCCAGACAGAACTGAGCAAGTGTATCTGTTTGAACAGGGCTTTAAGGAAATCACCCAATCAGTATGCAAAAATCCTGTTCATAAACCAAGAGAGATCTGCCTGGAATCAGAAATTCTTCCTTGCCAGGTCTGGGTACTGTAGTACATTTAAAACAGCCCCTGAAACTTTCTGAGTGCTGAAGTTCTTGTAGAAAGCAGCTTAACCCTTTTGTGTCTCTGTGTTTGGGCACACGCTACGCTCAACTGCAAACACATTCACTGAGCAAAACCACTTGTGGGCTTAGACTTTTTGTCTAGGTATATACAAGAAAATATAAAATACAAGGAAAACTTCTATATGTGACAGAGCTTTGCAGACAAAAAACTTTACATAGAACCTCTTAAACCTATATTGAGCTGCCCAGAAATGCCTTGGATTACAAACTCTGTAAAGCTTCTGTCTTTTCTAGAAACATACATATAAAGTACCAGTAGACAGTGGTAACTGACAACTAAGACTAAAAATGTTGACAATTTCTTGATTTGCCTGGTTAGCTTATGTATAGAAGTCATTAACTATTTATAAAATGCATTATGAATTGGGTTCCTTCAAAATGTAGCAGTGTGTGTGACATTTCCAGCTCAAACTATCATTCTTGCATTTGGCTAAAGTATATATTTATAAACATCTGATGGTTATGAAATAAAAAATAATAATAAAAAAAGTAATTATTGAGTTCAGACAAGCTGAACTAATCATGATAGCCAAATTTAAAAATGTTAAGCAATAATACTTTAATCAAAATAAGAATAGTATTTCAAGATACTGATATTTTGGACAAATCCTGAAAGAATAAATGAACACTTTAGTTCAAAGACCTTTCCTTTTATATTATTGATTCATTTGGTAGTGAAACTGTGATCAGAAGTAGTATCAAATTATTTATTGATTATGGCAAAGAGTTCTACCTAATTTTAGACAAAGCATTATTTCTTTTAATAAAATTTCTGATTTTCAGATCATGACAGATTATTACAATAAAAGAACCATAATACAAATATATTTATTGAGTTCACTGGCAATGGTAATAAAGGATTATAAAGGACCTCTAAAAATAGTACTGCTATTAACATTTGTTTCTTTCCTGTAAAGTATTCTTTTTCCTTTCTGCCATGCAGGCTCTTAAGAAAGAGAATATCATCCAGTGGTATCTTTCAAATAAATGATGTGTAATCAAGGACCATTTCAGTCCCTACATGTTATTAGGAAGCTTGTTCACTAGAGAACAAGCTCATGAAGCATCACGCTCCGTATCTCAGTCTAATAATGATAAATACATTCAACACTAACAGGATCAATGGGGCTGAGTCATTTTGTGAAATTGGGAGAAACTGTACAGTTGAACCACTAGACCTCAAATGAGGTCCTAAGACTGAATCTTAATCAGAAAAGATTATTAGATATTTATTGGTATATATTTGTAATTTCCTTCCTTGTTTGATGTGTATCAAATGAAAATAGGAAAATAATGTAATTGAGCAATCTATGCCAATTTGTTGCCTTTTTGGTGAGAAAAGAGAAAAACAAAACCTATCTCCATATGATATTCTTGCATACTGTGGAGTGTTTTAGTCCCCCATAGTGATGAAATGAATAATTTAAACAGGCAGCTCTGATACCACAGCCTGTTTAAAGGTTCTCATTTCCTTTAATGCTGTAGACTACTTTAGCTTGGTTAGTATGAAACTGTGACAGCTGAGATTTCCAAAAGATTTGGCACAATTCACCTCTTGCCGTGGGTCCGTGGTCCAAGGCTTTGTCCTTCCTTCTTACATCTGTAGCTTTAGGATCTGATGGCAAGTGAATCACAAATGTGTAAACATTGCAACAATCATGTTGGTAATGAAGGGGAGCTACACAGCATAAAGAGCTAAAATGTTTTGCTCTGAGTTGACCCATACAAGGCTTATTTTGCTGATAGGTCCCTTGCACAAAGGGTGACCCACTTACAACCTCTTTGTTACTACGGTGATGAATTTCCCTGTGCTCAGTATAATTTCTAGCATTCTTCTCCTGTGCTTCAGTCCCAAGTACAAGTTTTGGCATGATGGCCCAAGCACGGAAGACTTGAAGAGGGATTCATTTTTGAGTTCCTAGTGGTAGTCACTATCATGGCAGGGTGTGAGGGAAGACCCCATCAATAAAGGAAGGCCCTACAGCTTAGTTTTTGTTACTCTTAGGTTTCTTCCTCTGAGGTGTAAAAATTACCATAACTACTCTGAAAAGAAAAATAAATTAGACAATATGTTCAAAATTCAATCCCTCCTTTAATGGTAAGTGTGGGAGTATTAACTGAGTAATAGCCTGTTATTTGGCTAACAGAGAAATTGAAAGCTGGTGTTGTCATTGTGGGCTTCCCTATTGCTCCGTTGAATCCTGTGCTACCTTGCTAATCATCACACATTTACTTTCCAGTGCTTGGCACTTGATCTAGTTTAGAGTCAACATAATTATCAGTTCAAGAGCAAATCTGGTGCTCATAAGCTGTGAATTTACTTAATGTCCTGTCTGTCATAACAATCCCATGGATGACTGTGTCAGTTTTTGGTGTTTCCATGAACTGCTGAAGATCAGTGTTTGCTTGTGGTGTTATTTTCTCGCCTTTCTTTCACCCTTTAATTTCTGATCCTTTCCCAGCAGCTTTAGCAGCATAGAAAATGCTTGTTAATTTTCCACATCTTTAAATTGAATCAGATACATCACATGTGTTTTGTTCAGCTTCGGTTTTTGGGTTTTTTTAGATGGGAAAAGCTCAGTCTTCCTTTCCTGTCTAGTGGCATTGCTGCCATCGCTGTTACGTTGCATTCTTTTACCTGCTAGCAAGTGCTCTTCAGAAAAATGCATTTGGTTCCGGCACTGGCATTTTTTCAATATTTCTGCTGTTAATATGTATTGCCTCACATGTTACATATCTCGAGCTTCACAGAAGCTGCTTTCATTGCTGCAATGTTGAGGGTGTGACTGTCTTAGAAATACTATAGTTTTGCTATGCAGATTTGTTAAGGTACAGCAGTTGAAGAACTTTGTAATAACTTTCACTTGCAGATTTTTTTAATCGAATGGGTATCCATTAGGGGGCTCTCGAGGTTTAAGATGATCAGCCTTGATACCAATGGCTTCGGAGCTTTACTTCCTAACCCTTTTTTCTTTTTGTTTTACAGAAAAGGTCACGAATCGCCTACAGTGATGAGGTGCGGAATGAACTCCTAGGGGATGACGGGAATTCCTCAGAGAACCAGGTAGGATGCTAATCAAGAAGCCCTAGTGGGTGGCTGGAGGGTGAAGGAGGTCACTGGCACACTGGGCTTCTCAAGCTGCTCCTTAACAGCATTAGCAACAACTCATGTGGAAGTGATACTGTTTAATGCAAAGCTGGGGTCTTAATCAACTTCAAAATGTTTCTTGGAGATCTTACATTTAACCCTTTAACTTGTGATCACTGTCTGCTATCTCAAAAAAAATCTTTTCTTCTCTTTTCTTTATTATTTAGTACTTAAGAAATAACTTGAAACACGCTGTTTGCCGACAAAGCCAAGGTCTTCACCTCAAACACATGTAAAAGGAATAAAAAAGTACATAATGCAGCTTTGATAATAATGCAGTATAATTAAATCAACACTGGCAGGCAAAACAAATGAAAGTGCGCTCTCAGAATTAGGCAGTATCCCACTCAGTTTCCTTGTGTGATTCCTTCTTTAACCAGATTTTCTCTCCTTGTACCAAAAACACAAGTTGTACTAATAAGAGTGTGCTTTCATAATGCATGTTGTACTAGGATGCAGAGTGCTATCCACCTCTTTTAATGAATGAAAGCTTGATAATCCTGAGGCTTTTTTAAAATCTTGTACCCGTATTGTTGTTCTGCATGCTACAGTGAGGATCCTGAGAGACTACCGAAAACTGTGACGGCAATGCTTTATTCAGGAGACTTTGACCCACCTGTTAATATTTCTTTTTGGGATGAAACTTTTTTGACACTCTGACTGAAAGGAGAATATTTCTTTTCTTTCTAAAATTTGTGTTATCAAAGTCTTGTATTTTTGAGTTAGAAGTTAGCTGAAAGTTTTCCTACCTGGTCATATTTTCTCTTCTAACCAGAATCAAAGTTATTTTGCTAACAAAAGAAATATCGTTTAAATATTTACTTGATAAATGTGCTATAAAATAAGAAAATGAATCAGAACAGTGTTCTGAAATTTTTTGTATCTTCTGCACTTAGTACAGGCTCAGCTCAGAAAGAATAAAGACTTGGAGACTTACCTTGTACAGGGCTTTCAAAACACAGACCCCATAACCCCAGTCTTACAGAGTATTTTAAACATGATCAGTAAGTTTTAAACTCTGTAATAGACTTTAATTCATACATTAATGAAATTAGACACAGGATATATTATCTGAAGACATAAGACTGGAGTATAGCAGCTCTGATATCTTTGTGAAGACTTATATTTAAAGGACGATAATCTTCATATTTATATATGATAGAAAGGGGAGATTCCAAAATTTTTGTAAAACAAAGAGGGGATTTTATACCTAAAGAATCAACTAATGGAGAACATTATTTTTGGGAGAAGAGTTTCACAGTCTGTATGTCATGATTGTAAATGAAGTCCTGTGAAACTGTTAAGGTTCTCATTTTATTTCTCTTAAGGTGCTGCTACTTTTACATTTCAAGAAAAAAAATGTGTGAATTCAGACATAAAAGGGCAATTGTGATAAGAAGCTTTACTTATAACAGAATATCTTATGTGTAGGGATAAGATAAAATATTTTATTTTCACTTTTTAAAGAATGTTTAAATAACTGGCTCATGTGAGCACTTGCTGTGACTGATGATCTTTTTTCCAAACTTGGTGAAAGAGACATGTTCTCATCTCGAGAAGCTAAATGATACCTTCAACCATTTGTGAGCTTCAGGCTTTTTCTTCCAAATGACCACTATTTAAATGGAAGAAAAATTTGTCTGCTGAAGGACTCTTGTATAGGCTTTTAGGTAATCAAAATCCTTTTCTATAGCCCAACTTGAAATTATTTCCTCTGTACATTTTAAAGTTCTTCATTCCTTTCTTGAAAAATATAATGAAATAGCACCATAAAGGAGTCATCTAATTCCTTTAAAATATGTGAATGCCAGGATTTTTAAAATAGATTATTTATTGTGTTGTTTCAATAATAAATATCACATTCTCTTTTTCTTATTAAATATATTTATTTATACTTTTACTTATATACATGTAGATATGGGTGCAAGCAGTTAGTGCAAATACTTAGCTGGTATTGAGCTTATTAGAATGTGCAGCTTTCAAAATCAGGTGTACGTTTGGTCCTTACCAGACACTGAACATGAGACATTGTCAAGTTTAACTCCGTGACCCCAGGTTTAACATGCTTTCACTCCTATACATTAATATGTCAGTAGAAAACTTGGAGTAAATGATGAAAGGATGCTCAGGTATAACTTAAAGCCATGTAAAATATTTGAAGATGTTTCAAATGCTTGCTTTTGTTTTGTCTCATGGAAATAAATATAGGTACATGGACTGATCCTCACCCTAATATGATAGGATTTTTACTTCTCAGTCAGTTTGGATTAGGTTAAATTAATTTAACTGAAATATTGTAGGTTTGTTTTCCCCAATTCAGTCACCAGCTGTGAAAGGATTCCTTGCCTGACAGAGGAGGTGTTGAAAAAAACTTGGCAGCTCCTGTACCAGAGCACAAAAATTGGTAAAATCTGCCAATAGAAATATTGAATACTGGGTAGTCGGGGTTGTTACCCAGAGGCAGACAAGAGATATGAGTTGTTGGTCTTTGTCATTGTGATAAACATTTGCAAGATGTTGTAGGTGGAGAGAGAAGACAAAAGGAACTTAATGGTTGCTGGCTAATATGACCATATTAAAAAGTTACAAATAAAACAGATCACTATTGGAAAACTAAATTATCTGGATCTTTTTCTCATTCACTTTCTCTTTTTTTAGTTGTGTTTCAAAGGTATGATTACAGCAAACCACAGCCAAGTTATAACCTGTAATGAATAGAATGGTAGGTATAAGTTTCCAGTTGCTTTCTCAGGAAGAAAAACTGAAGTACAAAGAATAGATTGAAGAATAGGTAATGGTGATTTGTCTTTTGTCTTCTTTTTCCCAACATGTCTCCCAAAAGTAGCAGCCATTGTGTCTAGATGACACTCACAATAACTTGGAATACAATTCCCTTCTTATGATTATACCAAGATTTAACTGCTTTTACCAGATAGAGCATGTAGACATTTCCTGTTAGAAGTTGTAAGAATTATATAATTCTGCTATTGAAAGTTTCTTTAGAAATAAGTGCAGCTTGTTTTCATGAGACAGGTAGTGATATAGAGTGCTCTTAGTGATCCTAGAGTTCAGTGAAGTCATTGCTTAACATATGTTCATTTCTTCTTAATTTGAACGATGTGAATGTAGTCAGATGAGGCACTCAGAGGCTGAAAATCAAGAAATATCCCTTCTTGCATCAAAAAAAGGAAGTCCCACCTTATAAACCCAATCTCAAAAAACCACTGTGTGCATTGGGTTATTATTTGTTTTCCAAGAGTGGTCTTAAACAGACTGTTGCTTTCAAGTCTTGTTTGTCATCTTGGCCACCATTTAGCAAATCCCTTGAAAGTTTTGAGTTTTTCGGTGCAGTGATACCCTAGCTAAATTTGTAGCTTCTCTTCAATAATAATAGAACTGTTTTATGTAGCAAGTCATGTTTTTGATGAAGTATATGTTGGGTTAAATCAGAAATTTCTCTCAACGGAAGTTATGTGAAGTTCAATATTATCAACTTTTCTGAGGTGCTACAATGTCCCTTTCTCTTTTGCAGCTATGTTCATTAGTAAGTTTAAATAAATTCACATTGGGTTAAACTGTGTATCCGTATACCCATACATTCTATATGTGATTCATGGTGAACAAATATTTTGTGTCTACTTAATTTCTGACTACAAAGTTGTGATAATATTAGATTTGGGCTTGCTGTGCATAAAGTGTGTCAAACTTCAGCTACAGACCAGGGGGTGAAGTTGGTCAATTTAATTCGCCAAGATCTAAAGAAGGTCGGTATCATTTCATATAGCCCTGGCAGAGCTGATCATTACCAGACACAAATCTGTTCGTTACATGCGGAGGGTTTATAGCAAAATAAATAGACTGTCATCATAAGTTCAGAAAATTGTGTGTTCGACCCACGATAATGTGTAAAGGGCGTTTAATAGAGTTCAGCATTTATTCGTTATCTATATGCGGACAGAGACGGCGGTGGCGTTATCAGCTTTTTAAAAAAATTCGGTAGTTCTGTGTCACGTGACGAGCCTCGCGGCCACACGCGTGCGTGCACACACACACTCACATCCCATCTCGCTCCCTCGCTCTCTGTGGTGCAGTTTTGATTTTAGTCACAGCAGAAGGCTTAGCCACAAGAGATTCCACTGGTTCAAACCAGCGTAAACCAGATTTTTTTTTTTTTAGCCTACAAAGGAACAGATTACCTCTTGTATCAAATTCTGTATTGCAAAAAAAAAAAAAAAGAAAAAAAAAAGAAAAAATCTCTTTGTTTCAAAAATACTCTGATTATCATAACCTAAAATGGTGGCTGTGCATGGCTTAACGCTGTTTACAGTTTAGGAGTGAGCATAATAAAAATAATGTTTCAAAACAGAAATGTAAGGGTTACACATTTTCATCAAGAGCATTGTTAAATGGGGGAAAAATACATCTTTTGTTAATTTGAATGAATATCTTTCAGCCAATGTTAAAAAAAACCCAACCCTCTCCCATTACTTAGCTTAGCTGCAAATCCCATGCAGAGCTTAAATTCAGCCATGCAGCACAAACAAGATAGAACATTTTTGTTTGGGACCTATTGAAAAAGCAAATGTGCAGCATTTTAAAACTCTCATTGATTATAGCAGGGTGGCATGCCCGGACGGGCTCTATTGCGGGAGAGTCGTTTTAAACTTTGGCCCTTTAAGTATCATAGTCAACTGAAGAATGGTGGCCTCAGAAAGAAAAGATAGCTATGTGATCAACTCCCAGATCGTCTCTTTCTAAAGAGCCTTAATGTTTGCCTTTTTGGGGGAAAAGGGGGGGAAGAGCTGGAGAAAGACCAATTTATGATAGGCCAAGCACTTGAATTTAAGCGCTGGCTTGCCCAGCAGTGTCGTTTTCTTTATACCAAATTGTAGCAAAGTTCCTTTAGCTGGGTGCAGAAGAGCTGGCCCAGTTCAAGTCGGGGTGGTGTAGGAGTCCCCCTAATTACATCTCATTAGAGTTCTTGTCCCTTTTGGTAACGGGGGGACGTTTTAGACGAGCCATATGAGACAATAGAGAATAATGGAGGTTCTTTTGTTTCCTTCATGCTGGTGAGACTTTATTAGTAGTAAACATTCTCAGCTTACACGTGTTGAAAATTAGTGTTATGAAACTGTAGGTGAAGTATCAGCATAAACTGAGATAATTGTGTAGTGTTGTAATTTCGAACTGGAATCCGTGAGAGAACTGTAATTTTTTTTTTTTATAAAGGGCCGTTCTTGTGCATATATTTGTTGTGAGTAATTATACATTTTGTTCCAGTACAAACAATTTATCTATCTCTCTAAGGGGTGAGGGTATTACAACATAGCTTGATAATCAGGCTGGGGTTTTATTTGGTTTTATAGTAATGCTGCCAGAGCAATATAGTGTTAGTGTTAAGTTGTGTTGATTTACGAGCATAAATCAATAAATATAAATTTATATGTATATAAGCATACACACACACCCTGTTTGTGTATATATATACACACTGTGTAGTGGTCTGGATCAAGAACGTGGAATGGGTCTTTTCGGAGGGAAATATGTTTCATGTTGTTCCCTATTCCTTTGTCTGTTTTTAAATATGCTATTCAATAAATCATAGTTCTGAGACATTTAACTAAGCTGCTTCATTTTTTTTACCTAGCAGAAACCCTCAGTATGAAGTTCAATAATAAAATTAAATAATATAGTTACAGTAGAACTCAGTTATATAAAAATTGAAATACTGAAATACATGCTATAAAGATGCAGTCATCTATTAATAAGTTAGATCTGCTAGTAAAATAAGAAATCAGTTGTCACAACTAAAATATACAGAAAACATTCTGAAAACTTGTATATACAAAACCACTTCAGCTGTACAATCTTCGAAGAGAGGAATAGTAAACTTGTTTTTTTCTTTATAATATAGACTTCTATGAAGTCATTCCCCTTTATTTCATGATGGTGTCTTAGATGTGGTTTAAAAGAGAATTTCACACTATTCTCTTTGTTTAATGTGACAGTGTGAGAAAGTGATCTTTATTCGTTCAAAAAACTCTGCATGTAGTCTATGTTTAGGTTCTTTTAATGTGTTTGTCTGTGATTTTTAAATGCTAAACATGTAAACAGATAAATTGTCAATGTTAATTCTGTATCCTGTCACACAACTGATCTTTCTTTCCTGCCATTTCTTTCCTTTTTATCTTTTTTGTGCGTTCATGTTGCAGTTGATAAAATTACGTGAAGAGGTGAGTACTTTCTTGCTTTTTGTTGTCTAGCTTTCCCTTTAAAGCTGAGTTTCTAAATCTGAAGTAGATCTTTTTGTTCATTGTTGCAGGGAAATCTACACAAAGCAAAAATATTGATTACATTGCTTTAAAATATTCACTGTTGTGCCTCTTTTTCCCTAATAATTGTATACTTACATAGGAATCTCTAGATCAATCCTTAGAAATTAACATTCTTTGATAGTGGAATTTTTAAAAAAGGCACTAGAAAAAGAAGGGTGGGAAAAAACTCTATTATTTGATCTCTCCAAGAATACCATGATCAAATCAGGTACAGTAATAATCATGTTTGCATCACAAAAATCTTTGATAGGGAAAGTACATTTATACACTGGTGTTGAAAGTGAAAGCATTGCTTTGGTATAAACCTTTGCTGAAACATTTTAAAAATTACACAGTATTTCACAGCGTTTTGAATTGGGTGTGAGGTATTTAAATAGCTTATGCATTGTACTGGATATTGTACACTCAATGAAAATACAGTAGAGGTAGAGAGACCTACACACATATCAATATTTATTATTTATTTGTGAGTGCTGTAGATCTGTAGGTGTAACACTAGAGATCAGTATTCCAGAATACCTTTCTTCCAGTTATAAAATGACTCATAAATATTTAGAAAGAAGCCTGTTTTAATGGTCAGTTTCTCAAGTGTTTCAGTATATTTTCTGAAATTAATCTCTGCTTTTGCTTACTGTTGTAGCAAAGCAGGTATTTGAACTGCTATTTTTTATTATTTCCTAGTAGCCACTGAAAAGAAGGGCTAAGTCAAGTTTGCTTACAGGTCAGATTTCTGAAGGATTTCATACGGAAAGCTTGGACCACTGAAGTATTTGAATAAATATATTTAAAAGCACAAGTGTTTTAACATCACTTATTTGCCTGGTATCTTCTTTGTGGAACATGTGTGCCCAGTAATGTATCAGTAATACATACTGAACTCTGCAGGAAAGGATTTGTGAGTTTTAGAACTGGTGATGACAAAGAATTGTAAAGTAACCAGATTAAGGACAATTACAGAGAATTCTTAAAAACAGGTAGGTATTTCTGATACAAAGATTCTTCACTAGTTCCCTGAATGCTTTATTTTCCCCCTCTTCTCCTAGAGCTGATATTAATATGCAAAAGCTACAGAGTAAAAGAGTTAACAAAAAAAAATTAAATAAAATAAACATGTAACCACATGAAAGCCTTCCCACCACTGCTGAGCTCCCCTCCCCAATAGTCCCAGTATTTAAACGGATGACAGTATTGTTGCAAGGGTTTGTATAGCCTGATTTCTGAGGTTTTTCAGAAGAACAAGGTTCATTTTCTCATCCCTTTAACAGCATCTGCATGTCTGCTCCTGTGCTTTTGCAAAGAATGTAGTAGGATCATTTTTGTTTGCAAACATAAGATTATAGTTTTATAAAGATTCCTAATTTTTAAATTCACTCTGAAAATTTAATTATACGTAAAGAACAAAGCTGCTGCTTATATGCTTTTCTTTTTGAAATAGCTATGAAGACAAGTAAGAGTATTCAGGGTGTTATTGCAAAGGGCTGCAACTTGGGAGCTGTACTGAACTCAGTTATACCTTTTGGATTTTATATGTTCTCTGTGTTAGCCACCTAAAAAAAATTGACATTGCTTCTGGTAATTGTTTTCTTTTTTTTTTTTTTGCTTTTCCTTGCTAGCCTCATGAGTTACTTTTTTCCTCTCTGCATATGGTGAAAGCAGCAGAAAATAAACTAAATAAGGGGATTTATTACTTTGTCTCAAACACAATTGTGCTGGTAGAGAGAAAAATAATTTAAAACCCAATTGTTGGCATTCTGTTCTCTGCATGTAAGTACCCACTCTGTGTTGGATAAGTTGTAAATGCAATGGTGTTTTTATACCCAATGCAAAATGCACATTAAAGTTTAAATGAAGGCTAGTACAGTGACTCAGGCATAATTCTTAACTCGTCACAGAGTGAAACATCAAGGCATCCCCAATTATAGTTCTCCTAAGGAGGTATGAAGTGATCTTAAAAGAAATTGTGGTTTGCCATACTGTTTGTTAATAAAACCTGTGCTTCCTCTCATTACAAGGCTCTATTCTCGCACACTTGCCGTACACGGGCTTCCATGGAGGCTGTGTCGCTCTGTCTTTTGAGCTCCTGAGATCTCAGTTTGAATCCAGCCCACATGGAATGACTAAATCTCTAGTGATAGCATGCCACTTTGCAAAACTTCCTTATATAACTCCAGATAGAAGCTGTTTCTGAAGCTGCAAGACAGACTGAATCACCTCGCTACCCTCCTCACAGAGTGCAGGGGATACTGTGGGAGAAGGAATTTGGGGAGGGGTGGGAAGCAGTTGAAAGCATCAGCTGCTGCTACAGGGCATTGATTTCATGTCCAAAGGACAGGGTGCCTCCAAATCCAAACAATGTAAATGACACCACCCTTTATAATAAAATTAGGTTTCATTATAGAATGTCTTGGGTGGAAAGGCTCTGAAATCAAGTTAAGAAATGGCTGTGAGTTAGTGTTAGCACTGAGTTCACAGGGCTTTAGTATTCTAATTGCTCACAGTAAGACTGAACTGGGATGGTAATTTATTTTATTTAAATATGGCTTAAATGGTATAGAAAAATATACAGTCAAATGCTAATTCTTTGTTGGGTAGCTCTTTCACCTTGTGATGTGAAATCTGATTATTTCCCCCTCTCTCCCTTAACATTGCGGGATGGTGTTTTCATTTCCCGTGTACAGCCCTGTACATCTGTTCTGTGATCAGTGTTCTACTCCTTGTGCTCACTCCCAGCCTTTGGTGGTTTTTCAAGTATCTCCTCTCTAACTTTTAGGATTCTTACCCTCTAAACTACTTATTTTTGTGCCCCACACCTCCCACCCTCTTCCCCTTCTATTTTTCTTTCTTGAGAGACATTTATATGAATGTTAGGTTTCTGAGGGTTTTTACAAAGTTTAAAATACTTAACACTATTTCAATATTATTTGGAGGGGTACTATTTGGAGAAAGGCACCATACTATTCTTTTTATTTCTAATGAGCAATGAAGAGGAACCAGCAGATGTTATGAAAAGATGCCTTTTTAAAAATAATTAAGCAAAATTAACACTAATTATCTAGATTGACCATGAGTACTAAGAATATGTACCACTCTAGCTTGCTGTCATGATTTCAATTAAAGCGTTGTAGCTTGTGGTTTTAAATTTTATTAAGTGCTTGTGCTGATTATTTTTTTCTTGGTGGCCTGCCCCCCATGAATGCAAAAGCCTTTTTTGCAATTTTCTCTTAACCTATCCACTGTGTATTAGACAAGTCTATTAATTATTATAGACTGTTATTGCAGCTTTCCTGACCTTCACATTGGGTCCTATCTATGCTGATCTAAATGCATTGTTTTAATGATTTCCAAAAAAAGAAAAAGAGAGGGGGGGGAAAAAAAAAAGTAAAAAATTCAAGGCAAGCTTTGATGTGGCTTTAGCTGCCTCGATCGTCTGGCCGCATCTCAGAGATGTGTCACCTATGCCGGGAGGGAATAGGGAAATCACGTTTTGAATGGTAATGATAACATACTAATCACTTCCTTTCTTTGAAGATAGAAGCGAGATATTCTGTCAGCATCCCTGGCTGCTAGAGCTTGGAGGCACTGGTCTAGGTGTATTAGCTTAAGTGTGCATGTCAATACAGCTTGCATCTCCCAAGATCCATAGGGGCTCATTAGAGCAAGGTAGATCGTTTCGGTAGACAGCCACTCAGATAATATGTATGGCACCTCCTTTTTTTATTATTATTAGAAAGCATTTCTTCCATTTTAAAATGACATCTGTCAACAAGGCAAAGTTGTAGGGAATATTTTTTGACAAATATCCAAAATGTGGTTTTTGGGTAAAGGAGTGTGGTTTTTGGAAAGGTGTGTGTGATTACTGGGAGGGAGAGGGGTTGGCTTATATTTTTTGATGACTTGATTAGAGCTAGTCCAGGATCAAATTTTCAAAGGAAATGAGCTTAGATGGTGAAATGTAGGTGTTTTGGATGGAGAAAAAACAGATTAAAATAATAATTTTGCTTTTTCACCATTATGGACTTCTCAAGTAAAAATGCATCGAAATATGCATTTTTACCATAGTTTATTGTTATATATGGCAAATATATTATGTTATAAATGTTATGTAATAAATGGACAAATGATTTCTGGGAAAAAATATTTTATACCTGCATCTGTGTATCTTATTTATGTATTCACATATATTTAGGCATAAGAGATGTAAATCAAGAAACCAGTGTTTTGTTTCTACATCTTTTTACATCAAACAGTCTGAAGAATATTCATGCTGTTCAGTATTCTGTATGAATAGCTTGTTGTTTTTATCACCTCACTTGAGTAGTACACATAAAGGAAATATATCCTCTGCTGAAAATTAAGTTCATATTAAAAACTATCACTTGCATTTAAAGTGATGGTTTCATCAAACTGTAGTTGAATAGAAATCATGGGTGCTTGCATGCGTGTTTCACAGAGAAATCTATTTTGGAAATGCTCTTTAGACAGGTTTCCCACGTAATAGTTACATTCTGATTTGTGGGTTCATGTAAGAAGAGTGAAGCACATATTCCATGTTTCAAAACAAAAATGATTGGTACATATAATTATGATTGATCATAGAACCTGCCCCTTCCAGTGGTCCTTGTAGCAGACAGTTCCATAAAATATATGTGGATATTTTTATGTTTTGGAATATGAAAGCACAATTAAAAAGGGGGAGAGAACATTGTAGGCTGCTGCCTGATTTTTTTTTTTCCTCTCTCTTCCCTTTTCTTTTTCAGAGGGCACATCTGCTCGATAACACAGAGAGGCTGGAAAGGTCATCTCGGAGACTAGAGGCTGGATACCAAATAGCAGTGGAAACCGGTAAGAATTCTGAGAGTGAGCAAATTGTCTTGCTTATGCACAGCAGTCTTCACAACACATGACATTTCAGGGAAACTTCAAAGGCGAAACAGAGACAGCAGCCCGAGATGTGGTTTACATATTGGGGAGACAATTGGGAGCTTATTTGCGCTTATCTTTTTTCAAGTTAAAAGGCATGACATCTACTGAAAACAGTTCCTGAGGTTTAAAAGTATACATCTGAAAAGAGATGGAATACTTCGTCTAAATTCTACATTTGTCTTAATATGCAGTTACATGTTGTCAGTTTACCCACCCGCAATGATTGCTAGCACACACTGCAGACTCCAGTTGTTTTTGTCTTTTACTTTCATTCATATATGTAAAAAATTTCATTTTAGTAAATGTATAAGACATTAACTACACTTGATATGTAATAAGGTTATCAGCTCGATCTTCTTGCAATCAGTTTAGTGACTGATTACGCAGCTGTTTCTGTGCAATGAAAGAAGTAAACAAATCACATCCCTAAATATACAGATGGAGTAAAATTAATGGAGAAGGCTAAACTGCAGCACAGTTATTGAATTAGTGGTGTTTTTAATTGACTACAACTTTTCAGTTTGTATTTTCAAAATGTTTTTTTCTAAGTTTTAGCAATTTGTAGTGGATTTTTTTTAAACCAGAAATACTTAAGCCTTCAAAGTCTAATCCCCTTAAATAAAGCTTGTGCAAAGTTGGAGAAAGTTTCAGAAAATATATGTTTGAGCCATGAATAATTTTCTGGCAGAGAGTCCTGATTAATTGATACATGTCCAGAATATTTTTTTAGAATTCAAATCTTATAAGAGGTAAATTGAGTTAAACCCTTATAGAGTTAAACATGGCTATGCTAAATAGATGGTATTACTAAAGTGCCTACATTTTAATTATTCTGGACTTAGTGCTGTGCATAATAAAGAAATGGATGTATGGAACATACAGTGCAGAATTTGGAGGAGACAAGGAGCATTAATTCTTTTGTGCCAGAGGATGGCACGTTATATAGACAGACATATGATAGCAAATAAATTTGCTTTCCTGCAGATTTTCTATAAATGGTCAATAACTTGTTTTTTAGAAGGACTATTTTAAACTTGTCAAAAATGGTTCCTGATCTGCTTTACTTTAGCCTGGATCTTTCACAAAGAAGCAGTATATAAAAATTCAGACTGATCCTTTTGTGGAGGAGATGTCTTATATCCTTTTTTACTCCATGTGGAATTTGTTTTATGGAGATGATGATCATGTTAACTTCGGTTGCATATCTCCATGGTGATTTCTGAGAAATATGGTTGGAGTGCAAATGTATATTTATATGGAAACGGTGTCTTTCAGTATCAAAACCAGGTGAAACAGCATTGAATTCCATAGAGTCACTAATTCACCCCATCTTTGTGTCCGTCTCTACTTTTTATCTCATGCACAGGGAGAGAGAAAGAGAGATGTATAATTCTTACTCCCAAAACTCTGTGAAGACTAGGAGTGGAGTGATATTATATGATTTCTTAATATTAAATAATTTCAAGACGATGACTTTGGAAACATTGACTTCATTGTAATGTAGATTTTTTTTTTCCCAAAGATTTTTATAGAAACTGATGAATTATTTTATTCCTGGCATGGACCACAGTGATTCTAGGTATGAGAGAATTTAGATTCATCGAGTGCAATGAAAGAACTTACTTCTGGAATTATTTTTGGTTGCTCTGTGTTGAGGTCTCCCAATAAAATAAAACATTTTCAGTTCTTCTTTGAGCAGACTCCTCTAATCATGTCTTGCCTTTTTTATAACTTCTATTGCATGAAGAGCTTCTCTACACATGACTGGTGAGGCCACTTCTGTAGTGCTGTTTCTAGGTCTGAGCTTCCCTGTACAAGAAAGGCATTGACTTACTGGAGTGAGTCCAGGAAAGGACCATGAACAGAATTAAGGGACTGGAGCATCTTTCATGTGAGGAGAGGCTGAGAAACAAACAGTGCTCAGTGTGGAGAAGAGAAGGCTCTGGAGGACTTTATCAGTGTGTACAAATAGCTGATGGGTTGGAATGAAGAAGAGGGAGCCAGACTCCTCTCAGTAATATCCAGTGACAGGACAAGAGGCACAAATTAGAACCTGTGAAATTCCATCAGAACATGATAATTTTTTTATTGTGGTAATGGTCAAACAGTGAAATAGGTAGCTCACAGTGATTGTCAACTCTTCATCTCTCAGAAGATACTCAAAGTGCAGGTGAGCACAGTCTTGACTCTGGGTGACCCTCGGGCAGAGTGTTGGACAAGGTGATCTCAAGTCCCTTCTCACCTCAGCCATTCTGTGATTCTGTGAGGTGGATGTGACAACCCTTAAGCATCTATTCTGCTCTATTTATGTGGTGTCTCTGCACAATTATGGATATGTACGTTGCATACTGTAATGAAGCTGGATGATTTTCACCTCTGGAATAAGTCACATTTGGGTCTTTTTTATTACCTTAATCAGCAAAAATACATATACTATTTTAACCTGCCCCTGTGATCATCTAGGGATTAATCTGACATCACATAACTAATTTTATGCAATTTCACATTACAATTCCTGAAACTTACCATGATAAATTAGAAGCTTTTTTCCTGTTTGCATCTCTAAATTGATAAGCCCTTTCATCTTATGTACAGTTGCTCATACAAGCTGAGATCTGTTGGAAGGTCTGATTCCTTCTTTGAGCAGTGTCATTGATTCATGACTTCAGTGGTGTCTGAACAGGATGCCACTTATGTCACCATCTCTAAGGCAGGCCAGCACTGTCAGGCTTTCATAGCTTGTCTGTTGTCATTTGTTCATGCTGAGGATGTTTAAATCTATGCAGAAACCTCCTGAAGGACTACGCAAAGCCTTTAGTATCTGGCAACCAGTTCTGGAGTACACAAGGCCCACTGTAAGCAGAAGAACTTTATTCTAAACATTTATAGGGATATGTTGCAAATTCAGCAGATGTTTGAGAAGCTGATTTGGTGCACCTGGGAGTTAATCAGAGCATTTGCTTTTAAATTGCCTGAATTTTATGGCAAAAACAGGACAGAAATCTCTCAAGACATGAAGAGAAACCATCAGCTGTTTGAATCTCCAAGGTCTCCATTGTTTGTACCAAGAAGGGGAAGTTTTTAATAATGGCTTATAACACTGCAAAGTGTACTCATCTGCTTTTTAAATTCAAAACACTGTTTTAAAGAATATTTCTTGGGTTTTTTTTTTCCTGGATTTATGTTATAATCTGCTTTCCTCATGAGAAAGAGACAAATTTACAGCCTTATTAGTAGGTATTTCCAATACCACACATTTTTTTTTAGTTCTGCAACTCAATTTTCTAATTTCAGGCCACTTAGTCTGACCATATAGCCTCAGAATATGACAAAGATCTAAAAATGCATGAAAATTGCTGTTTTCAGTGAAAAAGGGAGCTCACCACATTAATCCCGATTAATCACAAAATTCTTCCTGGTTTTGAGGGTCTTAATTCTGTTCCCCATGCTCAGATTTCCACAGTACCAAAATGAATTCTAGAGCTTCCTTATTTTGTCTGCAGAATGTAGCATAATTTTGTTGACTCTTAGATATATTTGCTCAGACAGGAATATTTTGAATGAGAAGTAGTTTAAAATGCTTCATTCATCTTCAGTGATAAAATTGGCATGGAAATGTAAAACACTGTCAAGGAGAAGAGCACACCTGGCTGTAGAGGACCATGTGCTCTGCAGTTGAGTTGCTTTCACTAAGTTCTTCTCAACTGCCAGATATTTCCCAGGGAAAAAAAAAAAAAAAAAGTGGTGTTTATATAATGTAGGTTTCACCTTGTCTCAAGACAATATAAGAGAGAGAGAGAGATCCAGCCATTGAATGCTGTCCAGGATTTCAGGGAAAAACTATATTGCAAGTATTTACTTTTTTTCCTTCATCACCCTTAGATATTTCTATAGCTTTCAGTAATTTGAGAAGTTTTGAGCTTCTTTCTATGAGTCATGATTATTGGATATTATGCTGTGGCTCTGAATCTCTGAAATATCTGTGCTACTACAAGAATTTGTGGATAGTAGATCTATTTTTTGTACTTAATCTTTAAAATTTTGTCTTGGCTTCTGTTTTTATACCCATTTCGTAGCATGTAAACATGGTGTTTTAAAAGAAATCAAAGGAAGAAAAATTCTCCTGTTCCATATACAAGAGAAACTTGAGTTTGCTCTAAAATTATTATTTCTTTCAATCCTTCTTACTCATTGGGAATCTCAGGAAGATGTAACTCTGAAACAGTTAAAGGAGAAATATGTCTCAGCAAGAGACACAACAGCTTGTTTTCCACCCTTGTGTGACATGACTAATTCTTGTTACTAAGGGATCCAAGCAAATTTCAGTGGCTTTCACCTGTTGTAATGAACTACAGTCAAACCTCCTTTTCTGGACTGAGCCATAAATCCATAATCTAATGTTGTGGTGGCCTACAGAGCCATCTCAAAGCATTGGCAGCCTACTCGGTGAAAAGCAAATAGGAATCTCTTTAGACAAGGGTGTGTGTTTGCTTCTTTTTGAAATAATATTAATTATTGTCTTATCTGGATGCAGCGCTGAGTGAAAGTGCAGTGAACAGAGCAGTGAAAGCATATTAACAAGTGTTTATTAGGTGCTTCTGAAGGCAGGAGTCTTCAAGGTCAATGATTTTAGCATGAGAAGGGAACTGTTTTAACAGAACTCTAGGAGGTGTCCTGCCACACGTGAGTAATGGAATTTGATGTACAAGCACATTTCCACAGCAGCATGCCACAGATTTGGATTTCTCACTCTTTTACTGATGGAACGGTCTGAATCTCCAAGCAGCCCTGAAGGACCCTCTCCTTCCGTATTTCATGGTGTGGTTGTGCTGGTCAGGTGTCATAAATGAGATCCACACCAGAACTGTCATAACGTGTGAAACCATTAAAATTAAAATAAGTATATCAACCAAACTGTT